GGTTCTCGTGTCCCTGACAAGATGCTCATGTTCTTATAACGACGGTAACTCTAGCATCAAAGGGGGTCCAGCACTTACTCTTTCTTGGGCCCAAAGCCACAGGAAGCTTTCTCTGAGATAAATCATGTCTCCTACCCCCTTGCATTTTATAAGTGAGACCTATTTCATGGATCCCATTGTTAGAAGGCAAAATGGGTGCTGTCTTTGCCTTTTCACTCCCAGCTTGCTGTTCTCTCCTTCCCTCTTTCATCATTAACTCTCCAAAATGCCCAACTACTGGGTTTTGTTCACAGAAGGAACTCTAAAAAATAAAGATGAGTCAAAGAGAAAAGGGGAAAAGCCAGTGAAACAAATGCATTGGTGGCCTCCTGGTGGTTTCTCCTAAGGAAATGCTCGTACACATGCAGATGTGCCCCCTTCTATGTAGAAGGTAGAGAGGAACAAGGCCCTGGAGCAGGAGGATCGATGTGGAGGGCAACCCCCCTATGCCTTAGTAGATGATCTTTGGGAGTTCCTCTGACTGAAAAAGTCATTACCTTAAGCCCCCTTAGTGAGGAGCCTTTCTGTACTAAGCCAAGCTAGTCATTAGATAGAGAATCCATCACTGGGCTCAGACTTCCCAGCCCTGTGGAACCTGTCAGAGCTTGGCCTCCAGCGGCCCGGCTTGTTGAGAGCCCAGTATCACCTCTGTACCTCAATCAGGCCTAAAAATTGTGGGGGCTTATTTTTTTTCCAGTGGAAGCTTGCCAAACACTTCCATTTCATAATCCTTTCCCAAAATTCTAGAGGAAATGACCTGATCTCACTTACACAGTGCTTAGATGGAGGTGGAGTTGGCTAAACAATCATTTGTTTTTTACCTCCACGTATGACAGACCCAGGTGAGATTGGTTGAACCCGAGAGACCTAAAGTACAGTGGAAGGAGAGCTTCCTTTGGAGGTAGAAGATTTAGGTTTGAATCCTGGCTCTTCAACTGTGTGATCTTGGGCAAGTCACTTGACCTTTTTGAGCCTCTGCTTCCCTGTCTGTCAAATAAGGTGGCCAAACTAAATTTTCTCACCTGGCTCTGATGAGCTGTGATTTAAAGAAGGAGCATCTGATACTAAGAGTAGTTGAAGCTGGACTGGGTGACTGCAGAATCTTCTTTTTGGTAGATGCTTAATAAAAGAGAAACTTATATTTTGTGGTCAGTTGATTTTATTTTCAAGATAAGAATAAGGAGATTGACTATATGACTTAAAAATCCCTTCCAACCCTTGAACTGAAGTCAGAAGACCCTATCTCTAAGATCTCTATAATGTAACATACTATTCTTAATAGATCATTCCAACCGATAACAAGCTGGAAGAAGGAAGATCAGCTCCTCATTTCTTCTAGAAAGATCTATTTGAAAATAACCTTAAAGACCACATGGACTGGGGAGTCAGAGAGCCTTGTTCCAATCTCCATTTCTCAAGTTTGTGTGATATAGGGCAAGTCAGTAATTTCCCCATGGCTCAGTATTCTCATCCTCAGAGCATGAGTGATAGCTCCCACTGGTCATTTGTCAACATGCAGAGACCCCAAGACCAAATCCATGTAAATATCAGGAGGAAAAAACAACCCTACATAGAAGTTTGTAAGAAAGTTACATCATTGTGAGTGACCAAAATAAAAACCATAATCATATATGGCCTTTCACTTGGGTTTGACATACTTGAATGTTACTTTAAAGGGAAAAAAATCTTTCCTAGCATGATTAATATTTGATTTTTGCTTTAAACCTCAGCGGGGTTTAGACTTGGTCCATAAATAATGCTTTCTAAATTGTCCCCTTGAGAATTTGGCTGTTGAGAATTTACAAAAATTAAGGGTCATTCTCTTGCCAAGCCACTCACCTAATGCACACATTTTATAATAATGACTGAGAAATGCCAGATTTAAACGGACCAACTGATTTATGGCCTATCCTTAAGTTTTCATTAATGCAAGATTTTCAAAATCTTACCCTTTGGCATGAAATTTTCCATTCACCTATTTACCACATATACAATTTGGGAGGGAACAGTTTCAAAAAATGCTGACTTTCTTCATTATCAATTTATTAAATGGAATTACAGAAATATGGACTGAATAGAAAACTGATTCCCAAAAAGACTTCAAATATTTTAGGGGATGTGAAAATGACATCTAACTCTTTCCTTAAAACTAACGTTCAACCAACTTTAGTCCAGGGATTCTTACCCTTCCTTGTGGCATGGACCCTGTTGGCAGTTTGGTGAAGCCTATGTATGTAGCTCTCCATTTAATGTTTTTAAATGCACAAAATAAAATACATAAGATTGCAAAAGAAACCACTTCTATTGAAACACTTTTATCAAAATGATTTTAAAAAAAAGTTCCAGGTCCCCTTGAAAACTACGCATAGACCCCTATGGACCCTTGGTGAAGGCCCCATGCCTTAGACATAATAATTCTTTTTACAATGAAATGAATGGTAGTTCCTTGTTAAGAATAGGCCCTTTTGGCCTATAACTCCAATGACTCCAAAGAGGAATATTTAGAAAAGAGAATTTTTTAAAAAGGCACATGTGTTGTTTTCATTAGGATCCTCCCTCAATGACCTTTTTTATTTTTTTTTAAAGAAATGGCCCTTCAAGATTTTGTAGGAGTGTCTCCTCATTTCCCCTGTTCCAAGTGTGCTACCTTTTCCACTTCTGTCTGCCTAAAGGTACTCTATCCTTTGAGCTCGTCCTCTCAAAGCCTGCCACTCAATAGAGTAGGATGCAGTTAGGAATCTCTGGGGAATCCCTGGACAATGTTAAAGGGAAGAAGGAACTCCGCTGACAAATCTCCCACTCTGTTTGGAGTGGCTGTCTCTGTTCTCTCTAAAGCCTAGAAAGCAATTGTGCCAAGAAGGACAGTTTCTCAACACACTGGAGTTACAGAAGTTTTCACTGGCTTCAGATGCAGTTGGCATGGAACCACTTAAGCAAAGCTGTCCTGCAGCTTTGGGGCATGGGATTGGCTACTGTTATTCTTGCCTCCAAAGGATTTGGAGAATGCTACTCTTAGCATCTTGAAGAAGAGCTAGTGAGAGAGGGACAGGGAGAGGGTGGAAGGGAGAGAGACAGAGAGAGAGACAGAGAGACAAACAGAGAGACACAGAGACAGAGAGAGAGAGAGAGAGAGAGAGAGAGAGAGAGAGAGAGAGAGAGAGAGAGAGAGACAGAGACAGAGACAGAGAAACAGAGAGACAGAGAGACTGAGACAGACCCAGACCTGGGCCAGTCATCTTCCCCAGCACACATACAATGCTTAGTTCTAAGTCAACAGACCTTTTCTAAAATATCATTTTAAAGAAACTCAGTCTAGGCGATGAGCCTCTACTTGGATTTTGGCTTATTTACCATGTACTTAGTTTCTTGTTTTTATGGTTCTCCACCATGTCCTGCTCTGATGCCTCACCCTAGTTAGGAAGGTGACCTTGAGTTCTTCCATAGAGCTAGAAAAGCCTTAAGCATCAGCCCAATGATAGCTCAAGTTCAAATAAGCTCATCATGAGGTTGGCCATAGACTGATGAATGTTCTCTCAACAGAAACTGGCCAAAGGTCATAAACTAAAAATTGTAAAGGTAAAGTTGTAACCAAAGATAGGTGAAAGGATCTCTGTCTGACCCAAGGCACTAATGTGAGGGCAGTCTAATGGGTGGGAATTGCTTCCTTCCCACACTTCTCTGGGCACCCCCTTCCTGTGCTTGCCTTCTCCTTCAATCTCCTTCGAATGGTCCTCTGAATCCAGCCCAACCCACCTCGTAAAGGAACCTGCCCCAAGCACAGTTTTATCTGGTTGTGCCCCTGTAGTAAGAGGCTGTGGGTCACATCAATGAAATTGCTTGACTTTTAAGTCATATTTCATTTGACATGTGTTCACTCTGCACTGACTTCTGTCTCCAAATCCTTTTGGGGAGTAGGGAAGGGCTAACACCAATGGCCACTGTCATTGACACCCACAGTACATTAGAGTGGAAAGAGCACAGGGTTTGCAGCCAGAAGATGTGGACTTGAGTCCCAGCCCAGCCACATACTGGCCATTTGACCTTGAATGATGGAATCTTTCTGAACCTCAGGTTTCTCATGTATAAAATGGAAATAATGACCACACTACTCAGTGGATAGGGCTGTTGTGAAGAAAGTACTTTGTAAACTATGTAAACGGAGGTTTTAGTTAAAAGATGTTCTCGCCCCTCAACTCCATGTTCAAACCCTTCAGTGGTCACCTGCTGTCCAGTTAGGCAGCTTTTGGTGGCAGGGTAGACAGAGGGCTGGTCCTGGAGTCAGGAGGGCCTGAGCTCAAATCCAGCCTCAGATACTTATGAGCTGTGTGGTCCTGGGTAAGACACTCAATCTCTCTGTGCCTCAATTTCTTCAACTGTAAAATAGGGATAATAATGGCACCTGCCTCCCAGGGTCCTTGTGAGGATCAAATGAGATAGTATTTGTAAAAAGTCCTTAACACAGTGCCTATGTGGCACACTCACAGTGACTGACACCCAGTAAACTCTTAATAAATGCTTGTGGACTAAATGACTGCTTCAGTAAGGATCAGCTTGACAGGACACCCTCAAATACATTTTTTACCAACAGGTATATTCTGTTTTTACTCCACAGCCCCACATCCGTGTACACACACACACACACACACACACACACACACACACACACACACACACACAGAGTGAATGACACAATCACACACTACCTTCTAGGGGTTTCTATTTTTCTCCCTAACAGAATTTGAGGCTCACTAAAGGCAAAGGGTGTGTTTTTGAATTTTCTATCCTTCGAGGCACCTAAAACAAGCTAGGTCCACAGAAGACCCTCACTAAATACTTGCTGAAAGACCCTAATTATAATCTGGACAAAGTGGCCTTTTCATCAGCCAATGTCCAAGTGGCCTTGAATGCTGCCACCAGATGGAACTGAGTCAGTCCCTACAAACTGCCATCCCTCCACCTACCTCTGAGCCGTTGCTTCTAGTCTCCTCTGCGGGCTGTCTGTTGGCTGCACTTGGTCTCCTCGCAGAGGGTGAGGAAGGGGAAAGGCCACTCAGATGCCCCCAGCACACTGGGAACCCTGCCCAAGTCAGAGAGGGGCCCAGAGAGAAGAGAAAAGGAATCACAGCTCCCAGCACTTGGAATGATAACAAGGAATGGGAAAAGTTCGAGTGGCCGCGCAACAGGTCACACACATTCCCGGCTGAATCCCTCCCTCTGCCAGGTAGACTTTAATGAGGGCCCTGGCTCCGCATCCCGCCCAGCGCTTGACGCACAGTAGGCGCTTCAATGTAGCCAGGGCAGCCAGCCTGCGGGGGGCGCGGCCTCCCTCCCCAGCGGGGAGGGCCGGAGCAGAGGCCAGGGCGCCCCCACCCGGACGCTCCTGGGGGAGGGGGCGCGGGCGGGGAGTACTTAAAGGGGGAGGGGGAGGGCGGAGGAGGAGACGGCTCGAGGACCGGGAGTTGGAGTTCGAACAATCCGTACTGGCCCAAGCATGAAGCGCAAGCGAGAGCAAGGTCCTGAGGTTCAGTGGCTGCCCGAGGGCTCCTGCGAGGGCGAAGCCAACGGCCCCCGGGCCGCGGCCCCGACCCGCAGCCGGAGCCGAAGCCGGAGCCGCAGCCGCAGCCGCAGCCGCAGCTCCAGCCCCTACCCGGGCGCCAGCCCCAGCCCCTCGGGGCTGTCCGACCAGCCCCAGATGCCCCCGAGCTCGCTGTTCAACCTGTCTCTCCTCAAGCTCCACTATGGCCTCCAGCAGGTCGAGCCCAACCTCCGGCACATCGTGCTGGTGGTGAACACCCTGCGGCGCGTCCAGTCGTCCATGCAGCTGGAGGCGGGCCCCCCGGAACCCCCCGAGCCGGCCCCTCCGCAGCCGCCGGCCCCTGCCGCGCAGGCCACCCCGCCGGGCAGCCCGCGCTCCCGCCGCCGGGCCACCGTGAGTCAGTCCCCGGGCACCAGCGACCCCCGCAGGGCAGCCACAGAAAAGCGCCCCTCCGCCTGAGGCTCCTGCCGGCCGGCTGGCCCCCCATGGCCTCCACGGGCCGGCCTGCCTCTGGACGTGGACGTCGCTCCCCAACCAAGCCGTCCCGTCCCGTCCCGTCCCGTCCCGTCCCGTCCCATCCCGCCCCATCCTGCCCCGTCCTGGCCGGTCCGACCCATCCCGGCCTGGCCGGGCCCGGCCAATCCTGCCCTGCCCCTCCCCGGCCCGTCCAGTCCAGTCCCGTCCCGCCAGCTCCAAACCTACCCTGGCTGGTCCATGAGCGGGACGACGAACGAGGTCGAGACCAGCCCCGGGGGCCCCGGGGAGGGGGGGCGGTCCTGCGGGCCAGACCAGACCCAGCTGGCAGCTGGCTTCTGGGACCCGACGGGGAGGTCTACCCCGGCCGAGCGGTGGGATGGAGGGGAGGCCGAGAGGCAGGTTGCCTGGCCGCCCCCCTACTGTCCCGGGCCCACACGCTGGCACAGGACGTGGGCCAGGCCCCGACGGGCATCTCTGGGAAAGGAGCTGGAACGGAGGACACCCAAACGCAGCGAAAGAAGACGACCTGAGAAGTGTGAGCTGGTCTGTGACACCCCGCCCGACCTACCCCCGCCTACCCCCAACACCGACCCGGACACTGACATCCCCATAGACGGCCTCCAGGCTTGGAGGCAATGGCCTGACTGAGGAATCGAGGCTTTGGTGGCGGCTGCCACCATCATGACCCACAGAGGATTGGTCACCCCCCCGCCCCGTTCCAGTGTTCTGACACACCGCAGCAATCGAGGTCACCAACTGTCCCAGCCCAAGTGGCAATGGATTGCGATCTGCGTTGGTAAAGGGATTATCTAAACCAACGATATCACAGATCTTTTCCCCATTGACTTAGAAGTAGAAAAACACAAATAGATAGAGATACCTTTAAGTGTCTAAAGCTTGCAAAAATGTTTCAGGGATATAAATGGTTAAATGCTGCTGTAGATTTTTCGTCCAAATTTGCTATTTATTTTATAGGAACCGATAAGATTTAAAACTTTTTCTTTTTGCTACTCTTCTTCAAATAGATGTAATGATAAAATATTGGTTGAAATTTTGTTTTATTGTTAAAGGCTGTATAATAGATAAGGATATCTAATGTTCTCAAATTAAGAAAACAAAAATCTTGGGATCAGGAAAAATTGAAACTTACAAATAATGTGTCAAAAAGGCTGAATTCGATATCTCTCTGGGTCCCTCTACTTACTATACCTGGTTTCAGCTTAATGGAATACCAAATGATTATAGACACTGCCCACCCAAACTCTAATGATAAAGTATTCTTTTGCTCCCCCTTTCCTTTGAAGAACAGCTGTAATAATTAGCATCCATGAGAAATGTGGCTCTCTAGATTATTTCTCCCCTATGCCAACAGTGGGACCATACTTTACTACGCCCACAATCCCTAAAGTCTGAGTAATTTTTGAAACCAGCAACAGATTAAAATCTGTTCACCATGTGCACCACCAGTGTGGAATTCCCATACTCAAAATTATTCTGAGAATTGCAGCAGAAAGAAAATTTGTGTTTGTGGTTAAGATAGCTTGGAAATGAGCAACTGGGTTTGGGAGGGATGGTAGCTCTATGTATTTTTTTTATTAACAGCAGTAGGAACTGCACACCTGTGAAAATCCCCCCCTTATTATTTTTAAGACAGGGGAGAATTATAAATAGTTATGCTAGTTACATTTTAAGAATTGTGACCATAAGCTATAGATCTTTCTTTTTGTTGTTTAAATATCAAAGTGTTCACAGCATCTGAGCTAACTCCAAATTATATATTTTATAAATCCAATAAATAAATAAGTATTGTATTTGATTTTATGCATTATAGTTCAAAAGATATGCGTTGTTATATGGCTTTGATTTTCCATTTGAGAGAGAGAATGTGCTTCTAAGTATTAAATTAAAAAAAAAAATTCAGTCTATTTGCATCTGTTCGCCAGCTGAGTTCACATACATGCCCCATTGGCCTAACATCTTCAATTTGTCAAAATGTGGCTTAGGGGAAGGAGCCCAGGACTTGGGGTCAGGAGATCTAGGTTCTTGCCTTAGCTCTGCTCTGTGCTAGCTGTGTGACTGTGGGTAAGGCTCTTCACTTCTCCACTTCCATTTCCTTATCTGTCTAATAGTGGGGTTCAGACTAGATAGTCTCTAATGACTCTTCTTGCTCTGATATTCTGGGGGGGAGGGGTGGAGATGGGGGGGGGGGACATGCTTTGTCTGTCTTCTGCCCTCATTCTGTATGTGCTGTAATCTGCTTGAGGAAAAAGACAAGAATCAATTTCTAGAGCAACCAATACAGTCTCTCCAGGTGGAGTTGGAGAAGATTTCAAATAATGAAAAATATCATATCACAGGATCACAGCTCTGGAAGGGACCTCAGAGGCTACTGAGTCCAGCCCATCCCTGACTCAGAATTCCTTCTAAAGCAAAGGTTCTTTGCCCTTTTCTGTGTCCTGGACCCCTTTGGCAGTCTGGCAAAGTCAGAATTATGTTTATGATTAACTGAAGGAATTATTTGGTCAGTTAGAAGTTAGTGAAATAAAGATATAATTTTTTTTTCCATCCCAGTTCACAGACTCCCCCCTGAAACCTACCCAAAGGACCCTTAGTAGACTCAGGGTTAAGAACCTATGTTCTATATTATACTAGACAAGAAGACAATTTGGCCTTTACTTGAACCCCCCCATCCCCCTAGTGAGGGCAAACCCCAAACCTCCCAGACTGGTAAGCCATTCCATTTTTGGATAGCTTTAAATATTAGATCATTTGTTCTTACAAGGAGGCCAGATATGCCTCTAGAACACTCCCCCCACCTCTGCCCCACAATTGCTCCTAGGTCTTTTCTTTGGGGCCAAAAAGAACAAGTCCAATTCTTCTTTCAAATGCTTGAAGAAATGCTGCTATCTCTACCCAGCACCCTGCCCCGCCACCCATCAAGTGGCCTCTTCACCCACCCTAATATGGCATGGTCTCAAAGGTGAACACCAAGGGAATTTGCTAAGACAAAATGTTTTAGTGATTTGGAAGTTTCTTTGCTGTACAATTTCACATTTTTCCACTTACCTACTGGTAAGCTCAATCTATTTCAATCAAGTCATTCCTTGGCCTATACTTTAAAACCCAACAAGCACTTTTTTTCAGAAAATAATCTGAACCTACTTGTCTAAGTGTATGATTCATTGACAGACTCCAACATTATTGTTAGAAAACGCATTTAGTTACTCGGAATTTCCACAATCGTCGGCAATTCCTGTGACCAGAAAATGGCCTTCTTCCATCTCAAGCCACATAAGAGTCCTACATCCACTAGATTCTAAATGTATAGTACAGAGATACTACATGATGTCCCAAGGATGGAAGGACTCTCCCCACCGTGAAGGGGAAAATCAGCAAACCAATCAGAACTTTTTAAGGAGAGAAGATAACAGATCATTACTTGTCTTCCCCTGTACAGATCTATGGTAAATTAATATAAATTATGCTAAGTTTCACTTTAACTACTTTCATTATAATCCAAGGAGTTGTGACCATATTCATCTAAATGTAAGCTCTACTCTAAAAATTAAATCTCTCTGAGAGGAAAAAAAGATATATAGGCACAAGCTAAAAAACTTAGCAATCATGGGCCATACTCAAATTTTATATGAGCCAGATTTGGGGGAGGGGGGGATGCAGCTTATTTTAGGACAAAATTGAGCACTGAAAGAGCAAACCAGTGCATTGGAAAGTCAGAGGATGAGATGTGGGTGGGAATATTGGCTCTGCTATTTCTTATTACCTGTATGACTTTCAGCAAATCACTTCTCTGTTTAGACCTCAGTGCTTCCTCTGTAAAATAAGGACAAGCTCAGAGGTTCCTTCAAGCTTTAAATCCATGATCTTATGATTCTTTACAGCATGTAGGAGGTGTGTGTTCCCATTTGTATATTTAAAATATTGTAAAACTTTTTAAAACTTCTGTATCAAGCTGTTCTGTTTTCAAAATGATATTACAAATAAAAACATGCAGTTATAACTTTACTATATGATAAAATTTGTTGCTGATATCCCAAAGAAAGCAATAAGCAGATATTATGAGCATATTTTCCAAAACAAAAACCAGGAGATAGGATCTGACAAAGGATATTACATTTCAAAAACCTTATTAAGAGTATACTTTACTTTCCTGAAATGGGGACCAGTCCAGAAAATTCAGGACTGATGGTAGCTGAATATATATGCTGTT